ACTTCTGTGTTCTCTTGCTTTCACATGTAACATTTACTGTCCATTGTTTCCACCCCTGGGATGCCCGGCCCCGTCATCATGCTGGGCCCTTTTGTCCCAGTGGACACCTGTTCCTCCAGATCCTCTTCTCTCACCAGATGGGCTGACCTCTCCACCCATCACCAGCCTTCTCTTCTCTGCTCTCCTGGGCTAGGTGCTGTGATTCCTGGGCTCCAATGTTCTCCTTTTCCGCACATGTCATTCTGAACGAAGGGGAATGAGAGAAAAATTGCCAGAGTAATTTTACTTAGCAAAGTATTGTTGTATCTGAGGAATATGTGGAAGATCCCATATTTTACTCCTAATAATTTTTGTTTATGTCTTCTCTCTCTCTCTTTAAATGCTAGAGGGCATGTGCTCATGCGAGAGAGATAGAGAGAGAAAGAACCCCAGATGGGCCTGCTCATGCCACAGTCTTTTCTTCCTTAGTTCTCTATCCTGTCAGAACCGTAGGCATGCACACATGCATGTCTTTTGAGCTTCCTGGCTGGGACTTAAGCCCTGGTTGGCCATATGGGATATAGCCTTTTCTGTACTGTGCTTTAACCACTATGCTATAGGGTCAGCCCTCTCTCTAATCAGTCTTGTCAGATTTTTCAACTTTAGTAATCTTAAAAAAATATAATGTACAGTCTTGTTTATTCTATTTTCTATTTGTATTCTATTTCATTCATGTCTGGTCTTCTTACTGGTTCCATCCTTATTCTTTCTTTGGTTTGTTCCCTTTATTTATTTATTTTTTTGGAGAGGTTTTCACTATAGGGCGCGTGCGCTCGCCAGACAGACTCAGAGAGACAGAGAGACAGAAAGTGAGAGATCACCCCCCAGGCGGGGATGGCCACGCTGCAATCCCTTCTCCTCTATTCTCCTCTTGGGATCTTGGGCATGCATGCACACGCACCCAGAGTGAGTTTAAGCCACCGGGTCTGGGACTCGAACCGTGATCAGCTATGTGGGAATCCAGTGACATAGCCATTACACTAACTGCTGGTCCCTGGTTTGTTCCCTTTATTAAAATGATGATTTCTGGTTTACATATATCTGATGATGTATTAATATATCTGTGCAATACAGTATGGTTTTTCAAAGCAAGCATCCAATATAAAATAATCAAATCAAGGATATACACATATTCTTCAAAATAGAACCTTATGTTACGTTGTGCACATTTGATAATAGTTCTAATAGATTTAAAAAATATTTTATTTAACTTTATTTATTTATTTATTTTCATTTGACTAGAGAGCGACAGAGTGAGAGTGAGAGAGAGTGAGGGTGGGGGAGACAGAGAGCTAGAAAGTGAGAAAGCAAGCCGCCAGGCCTGAGACTAGAACCATGGTCAGTCTTGTGGAGTCCAGTGCTCTTTACTGCCATGCCACCTGCCAGCCCCTAGATGTTTTTTTAGCGTGTTTTAAATTGTCCATATTTTTTATTCTGCTGCAATACACTCTCTTCCCTTATTTACATGCATTCTTAGATCCATTAACCATTTTCTCATAGATACCCCCAATGCCCACCCCTGCAGCTTCTGGTATTATCATTACTCTCTCTACTTTCATAGTTTTGGGTTCTTCATTTTCCACCATAAAGTACAGACCACTCAGTGTATGTTAAGTGGGAACATAAACTATTCGTCTGTCCTAGTCTGGCTTATCTCACTTAGTATTATATCTTCTAGGTTCATCCACTTTGTGTCAAAAGACAAGATTTCTCTGTTCTTTATGGCTAAATAGTATTCTTTTTTGTATATATACCATGGTTTTCCAATCTATTGATTGGTTTTCAACACTCTTTTTCTTTTGGTAATTTCTTGAGATGAATACTTGTTGATTTCTGCCTTCTCTCTCTCTCTCTCTTTCATGCACTCATAACTATACATTTTCCTCTGAGCAGAGCCTTATCTGACAAGCTATGGTATATTGTATTTTTATTATAATTCAATTAAACATATTTTAAATATTTTTTTCTCTCCTTTTTTTCCTGCCTTACTTTCTCTCTCTCTCTCTCTTCTCTCTTCACTCTAAAGTATCTGGTTTTAGTTTGGTCCAGGACTTGGAACTCAGACCTCCCATGGGATCCCAGCCGACAGAGCACAGCATACTAGCATGCCACTGTGACTGGGCCATGATCTTTTTAAAAGCAGCTTTGATTCTTGCCCTGGAAGATAATTAAAGCTGCACTATACTGAAACCAAGTCACTTTTTAATTGTATTTAACATGTGGAATCATATACAGTTAAATTAAATTGTCTAACCAAGCTAACTAGGCAAACTTATGGAGTATCATATTTCAAATGACAAATGATCAGCAATAGTAAAGTGTCCCCAATTGGCCCCATCCTATAAAATTTAATACTTCAACTCTCCATTTAAAAAATAAAGACTCCTACAATGCATAATGCACTTTTTGGTCTAGTTGTTTTGCTTAGTTTCATACAGAATTAAATAAAGACAACTGGCTGGAGCTTAGGTTTCTTCTTTTGCAATTATAAATGGGATAATAGTTAACATTCACTGAATACTTATTGTCACATCAGATTTCTTTTTGAAGAGGGATTTTTGCTATAGGGTATGTGTACTCACCAGTGAGACAGAGAGACAGAAAATGAGAAATTAACCCCCCCTCAAGGGGGGATTGCCGCACTGCAATCCCTTCTATTCTCCCCTCAGGATCTTGGGTGCTTATGCACATGCACCCAGTGTGAGTTTCAAGCTTTGCAGCCCCCTTGCCTACACCTTGGACCAGGTGCAGCAAGGGTGATGGCACCTCTGTGCCTCCAGCCACAGTGCCAGCATTGCAAAGTGCTGTGCCACATAGCTGGGTCCTGAGCACTTTCTTTTCTTTTTTTTTGGAGAGGTTTTTGCTACAGGGCACGTGCACTCGCCAGGCAGACACAGAGAGACATAGAGACAGAAAGTGAAAAATCACCCCCCAGGGGGGATGGCCACACCGCAATCCCTTCTCCTCCATTCTCCTCTTGGGATCTTAGGCACGCACATACACGCGCCCAGCGTGTTTTAAGCTACCAGGTCCGGGACTCAAACCGTGGTCGGCTATGTGGGAGTCCAGCGACATAGCCATTACGCTAACTGCTGGTCCCCTGAGTGCCTTCTAAAAGCACGACATGGCAGATGCTCATGTTGTCTGCTCCTTCAGAGTTGGGAAAGCAGGTTCCATAGCTCAGAGAATGGTCATTGGCAACTAATGGCTGCTCCATACTGTCATCATGTCTCCACCGTTTTATGATTTGCTGTATGCTACTGTATGTTGTGGGTGTATAAAAGCATATGCGTATTTTTTCATGTGCATTTAGTTCTTCTCAATTAATTCTGTTATTTTCATTATAAAGTTCTGAGCAAAGACCAGCCCATGGCCTGGTGATTAAGGGAGCTGAATCTCACATGGCTGACACAATTCAAATTGCAGCTGCATCACATGTTCATTTATGCCCAGAACACTGCCAGGATGGAGAAATAGAGATGGGATCGGAGCCTACAATCCCCCACTGTGGGGTGCTTTGTCTCTGTGTCATTCTGTCTCTCTCTGACAAGTGCTTGTGCCTACTGGCAACTTAAAAAAAAAAATGACCCTGAATCTCAATAAGCCATGGGGCCTGATGTGGATAGAGCCGCTCTGCTGTGAGATCCACACCAACCAGATGAGTGGCTCTTACAGGACACAGCCCAGAAGGACCATTTCCGGTCGCACCACCAAGTAGAGGGCACACTCACCACCTTATGTGAGGGATAAGCCTGGATTGAGTTGGCATCTGCTGGTGGCAGGGCCTCGTGCAGAGCTCACCCAAGGAACCAGGTTCCTCACAACTTCTCCACAGATTCCACAGCAAGAACACCTTCCAGACTGTGTTCTGCATATTCTTCCCACACTTCCCTATTCTAGATCATTTGGTGTTTCCAGCTCCTTCCTGAAACCAGAGCCAAAATACAGAGATGAAAAACATGTTTGATGCTTGGCTTCTATAGCAACGATCTTGCCGTCTTTGACTCACTGTTATATTCCCACATCAAACAGAGAGATTTGGGGCAGGACTACAGGAGGATCTGGTTTCTCTGGTGTTGATGCTCCTTGACAATTGCTTTTGCAAAAGTAGTGTTTAAAACAGCTTCCACAAAATACCTGCTGCATTAGAGGAGGCGTATTTTGTTTTAGAATACTTGACTCCGGGTTGGAAGTTTTCCTGTGTCTGTTCTTTTTTTTTTTTTTTTTGCTTGGCCTTCTGTGGGAAGAGAACTCTTCACAGGCTTTTCCTCTGTTCTTTGTTCTGCCCATCTCCCACTGTCCCACATTCCCTTTGGCTGCAATCTCAACTTTTGTGGTTTAACTTTTGTCTTTTCTTTTAGATCTATCAACATTATAGAGAATGTACATAAGTCAAGAGAATTTGCACTCAACAGCGACTAGTAAAACTGTTTAAATATGGACAAAATTAGATTCTTAAGTATGTTGTTTTCATTGCCAGAGGGCAAGTGTGCTGGCTAGAGAAAGAAAAAGGAAGTTAGAGAGAGGGAGAAGCATCCCCCATGAGGAGTTGTCACATAGTAATCCCTCCTCCATTTCTCCATCCTGTTTGGATTTTGGGCACTTCTGTACACACACTTGGTGTGGTTTTCAAGCCTATGGGGAGCTGGGATTTGAACTGCAGTCTTCCATGTGGGATCCGGTTCCGTTAACCCCTAGACTATGGGGTCAACACTTAATGAAATAATTTATATTCATTTTCAAATTTATTTGTGCAATCTCTCCTATATGAGCAGTAAGCACAGGGGTGAAACAGAAATCTATAAATCCTAACTTGTTTTCTTCCCTCAGGAGGGATGCTAGACAGAATGTTTAACCATGCAGGAGCTGGGCACTTTCGTTTCATGGGTCAAATCTTGGTCAATCTCTCTTCCTGTGTGGTGCTGAATCGCTTCCAGGCTACGGAGTCTGTTGACATCCTGGAGACTAAAACACGTGAACTCATGCAACAGAACAACTTCTTGGCCAGTAAGTATTCAACAAAAAACATGTTTACAAAGGTCCTGGATAAAAATGGGTTGCCATTTGGAATATTTCCCCCTAAGGATTCTTTTTTTTTTTTTTTTTTTTTTTTTTTTTTGAGAGGTTTTTGCTACAGGGTGCGTGCGCTTGCCAGAAAGTAAGAGAAAGACAGAGAGACCGAAAGTGAGAAATCATCCCCAGGGGTGATGGCCATGCCACAATCCATTCTCCTCCATTCTCCTCTCAGGATCTTGGGCACGCACGCACACGTGCCCAGCGTGAGTTTTAAGCCACCGGCTCCGGGACGCGAACCGTGGTCAACTACGTGGGAGTCCAGCGACATAGCCATTACGCCAACTGCTGGTTCCCCCCTAAGGATTCTTATGAAAGCTCAGAAAGAAAAGGACAATGAAAAGTTTTTCCAGATAAAACAAAATAAAACTGAAATGAAAAAGATAATGAGAAGTTTTTCCAGATAAAACAAAATAAAGCTGAAATATTTGTGTGGAGTTAGTGAAAAGACTTACCTTATACCATAATAACTCAGGGCTTTTATTTACTTAAAAAACATCCTTGAGACCAGTGCTATTCTCTGCATCTGATATTATTATTATTATTATTATTATTATTATTATTATTATTTTATAATTATTATTTTTTTAAAGTGAGAAATCACACCTCGGAGGATAGCCATGCTGGATTCTTTTCTCCATTTTTGTCTTGGAATTTTGGGCACACAAACACACCTGGCATGTTTTTTTTTTCTTTCTTTTTTTCAAGAGTTTTTTTTTTTTTTTTTGCTATAGGGCAGGTGCGCTCGCCAGAAAGACAGAGACAGACAGAAAGACAGAGAGTGAGAAATCACCCCCCAAGGGAGATGGCCATGCTGCAATCACTTCTCCTCCGTTCTCCTCTCGGGATCTTGGGCACACACGCACACCTGCCTGGTGTGAGTTCAAGTCATCGGGTCCAGGACTCCAACCGCGGTTGACTACGTGGGAGTCCAGTGGCATAGCTAACCCCCCTGGCATGCTTTTCAAGCTGTCAGGTCCAACACTCCAACTGTTGTGGGATGACTTCAATGATGCCCCGGTTCTTGGTGTTTCAGACAAACAATCGAACAAAACACGCCAATAGTGAAAGCAAAGTAAATTAAGTGGAAGTATACTCCTTAGAGGTAGGAGCGGGCACTAGTGGAACGAGAAAGAATGGTCCAAGGGCCCCATTAATTGCTTTCCGTGAGGTTTATAATTCCTTTACCGGGTTGTGTTGATTGAACATTGGCTGGGCTCATTGATTGCTTTCATCCCATTGGCTATCTCAAATGTGACTGGGCTGACTGATTCATGTCATTAGCTACATCAAATGTGGCTTCATCAGGAAGACATCATGCCCCCTTAGAAATCTCCCACCTAGATTATCTTAAATGGGGCATTTCCCACCCTGATTAGTTTTTCTCTCTAGCCATAGATGCAGGTGCTCCACTCCCTTACCTGCTTCATTTTCTAGCTTTCTTCCTGTCTTAGAGCCACAGAGTCAGCCATGTAGGATACAGTGCTTTTACCACCATGCCATCAGCTGGCCCCAATTTTATTATTTTATAGTTTTAATTTCACATGACAAATGATATTTTTCCTATTTAAAGGTATACTTTAATTTCTTTTTATTCTTTTAATAATTTTGTTTTACTTTATTATTACTATTATTATATTCCAGTTTTCATCGGAGAGAGACAGAAAGAGAGAGAGAGGGAAAGTGAGAAAGCAAACCACCACGTCCAGGACTCAAACTGTGGTTGGCCATGTGGGAGTCCAACCCCTTTACCACTATGCCATCTGCCAGCCCCTATACTTTAATTTCTTTCACCAACTCTTTTTTTAAAGAGAAGTTTTTTCCTCATTGGAGAGACAGAGAGATAGAGAGACAGAAAGCGAGAAATCATCCCTTCTCCTCCATTCTCCTCTTAGGATCTTGGGTACTCATGCACATGTTCCTGGTGTGTTTTAAAGCCTATGTGTCCGGGACTTGAACCGTGGTCAGCCATGTGGGAGACCACCGATGTAACCACTAATCTGCTGGTCCCATCATCAACTTTATTTTTATCATACTATCTTGGTATCCTGAATTGGGCTGACAGAAAAGACAATGGCCAATTTGACTACATTATTAATTGTTCGCCTTCTCAAGATAAATATTTAATATGTCCTCTTATTTTTATTAAGGCTATGTATTGGTTTTCTAGAAATGCCTTCACAAAGTGTCAGAGTGGGTGGCTTAAATAACAGAATTTTGTCACTTCACAGTTGGGGGATTGAAGTCTGAAGTCTAGGCCTTAGTGGATTTCTTGGTAGGGCTATGAAGGAATAATCTTCTTGAAGCCTCTTTTGATGGCTGTGTTCTCCCTGTGTCTCTTCACACCATTTCTGATTTATGGGCTTTATGAATGAAATCCAAAGAATCCATGTAATAGAGAACAGAATCTCTGTATTTAAGTTATAAGTGATTAGTAGCCCCATAGAGATGGGTTATGCACATGGAATTACATCTACAACTTGAGAGAAGAAAGTCTGATTAGCTGTGCAGCCTCATGTAATTTTTTGCATCCTGTAAAAACTGCAGAATGAATAATGTTTTTGTATTGATTATATTGCAGTATCATTTTATTAAAATTAAAAGGAGGATTGGACTGGGATATAAGAGGTCAAGTCTGCACTAACTGCCTGGGTAACTAAGCATCGCTTTGCTTCCCTGGAGTCTGGTTCTCCTGCAAGAATGATAGTCTGTGCCTAGTCTTAGTTCCATCAGCTTCCCAGTCTGACCCCATACTGCGTGCCCTTCCCTAAGCTATGATGATACTTTATTTTCCTTCTCTGCCTTTAGGTGTCATATTCAACAGTTCCTTAGTTGGCCAGAACTTCAGATTGAAGTCTGTCAAACTGCCACCCCATGTCACATACACGCTTCGGACCAGTGTATTATACAGCATGAGGACAGATGTGGTCAAAAACCCTTCTTGGAAGTTTCATCCTCAAACTCTTCCAGCTGATGGGTTCAAGTATAACTACATCTTTGTGCCTCTGCAAGACATGATCGAAAGAGCCATCATTTTGGTGCAGACTGGGCGGGAAGATCTGGAACCAGCGACCCTGACACAGGCCATTCCCTACCCCTGCCACACCAGCGACCTGTGAGTAGCCCAGGGCTGTAGCCACTCTGCCCTCTAGTGTCCACCTACAATGAGCAAATTCTTAAAAAGTAGACTGCATCCATGCATAGTCCAGTAATACAAGACATAATAACCTGGAGGCTTATTAGAAGAAATATAAATATTAAAAACCTTGAAAAATCCAAGCCTTTTATCTCCATTTCAGAAGTCTGCAAATGAACCGTCCGTTGTTTTTATAAACACATCACCTCTTCCTTTAATTTGACCTAGATAAGAACAACAGCTAGGGTTGTTCAGTATCAGATATAAGCCCCTAAGGTTGAACAAAAAGGAGATCTAAAACTGCATGACAATTTATTAAGGATTTTTGTTAAACTTGTATGTTAATCATTCACCTTTTGGAGGGTGACTTTTACCCACCTGAAACCCTATAAGGTCTGATTGGCTGCAAATTTTGAAAATTCTCTCAGTTTATGGATAAGCTTTTAATACAACCAGTATCCCATTACTGCCAAAAGCAAATCTCCAGGAACTTTACTGAAATCTTTTCTCACTGTAAACTAGCTTAGTTTTTAAAAAAACTCAAAAATAGCTCTTTATTCTTCCTTTGATGTTTAGGGTGACTCTCATTTGAAACAGAGACATTGGCATCAGTGGAATTGTTTCCTGACTTTTTTTTTCTGCATTAGCTCATAAACCTACTAATTGTTCTGGTTTTGTGCTAGGACATAAATTCAAATTAAAGTCAACCACTGGTACCATGGATTTTTCTATGGCAAAGAGGAAAGAATTAAGATAATAGGAATTGAGTAAAAACAAACAAAAAAACCAACGTGAAGTTTTCAAGATGGCAGAAAAGTCTTGATCCATGATACTGGGCAAAACTGTCCAGGTCCAAGAGGTCTGTTCTGAAGAAATTTTCCTGGTCAGTTTTACCTTAAAGTTCCCAATATATGCAGCTTTAAAAATCTGAAGGAGCCCTTCTGAATTGTGAACTCAGAGTTCAAGGTCTAGCAGCTTTACCTGCAGTGTGAGTGGTGAGAAGATTTTGATATGATGCTTCCAACAGGGCTTATGGGCTGTCTTTCTCTGGTATTATTTTTAGAAGATGCAAACTCTGTACCATGAAGGGTTTGATTGTCTTCAGTCAGAGAATTACAAATAGTATTCTTTACCTGGTGAAAATACATTTTGGTATAATGGACTGAAGCCTGCAGAATTAGATTTCTCTAGAAATGTCTCATGAGAAAAAAACACATTTCTAATAACCTTTTAACTACTGTTACAGCATTACCTTCCTTGATGGGAAAGTTCCTACACAACTAAAAATATGCAATGAAAATGGCAATGAGTGAAATCCCTTTATAATATTTAAATGGCATATTATATAGTAGAAATATATCTGCAGTTTTTACTGTCTTTTTAATATCAAGTTGACAGACTAAACATTGGTTATAAAACATTTTAGTAATTTTAGAGCTTTCCCTATACTAATACCACCATACAAATTATATACATGTATGGTGGTATTAGTATAGTATAGTATAGTGACAGATTATCTATCTATCTATCTATCTATCTATCTATCTATCTATCTATCTATATATATATCTATCTATATCTGCCTTAGGGCACATGTGCTGACCAGAGACAGAAAAAGTGATAAATCACTCCCGGGGGGATGGCCATGCTGCAATCCCTTTTTATTCATTCTCCTCCCAGAATCTTGGGCATGCACACACATGTGCCTGGTGTAATTTTCAAGACACTGTGTCCAAGACTCAAACCACAGTCAGCCATGTGGAAGTCCAGTGACATAACCACTGTGCCATCTACTGGTCCGATCAATATTTTCAAATCTGGATCATTTTATCTTTTTTTGTGAGTCATGGAGTATAGAGGTTTTAAATAATGAGAGTCATAAGGAGGACTCAGGAAGAACTAAATGGTGTCCAGAGACTCTCCATGAGTCCCTGCTTAATATTGGATTTGCATCCTTTATGAATTTTACCTCTTTAATTTAGATGTATAGTATTGCTTATTAAATAGATTGTCACAGGTAATTTGAGTTTGGTCAATCATATAGAATTTATTTAAATTACAGACCTAGAAATTTACATTTGGTCTTTGATAGTGGGCCAGGAAGTGATATAAATATGAACAGTTTTGGTATTGGCTGACATAGCACACAATTCTGTCAGAATATTTTCTTGCTTTTGGTTAATTCTGGTTCTGCTTAATGGTTGAATTAGCAGTTTAAAAAAATCAATCAGCTTCTCCACAGAACCTGGAAATTTTTTACCAGATAATGATTAGATCACCAGAAACCTGTACTTATAGGAGTACATCCTCTTTCTAACCTCTTCGTGATTTTCCTTAAGGATAACACTTAAAGATTGCTGTCATTTGAAATAAGTTTTTTAAAAAGGCATCATACAAAGCAATTAACCATGGACAATTAGACTTGAACCAACCATAGGTAAAGAGCTGACAAGAATTTCAAACTGACAAAAATATTCAGCTCTATCTGTGACATACACCAACTTAACATAATAACCTACAATAGGACTGATAAATATCAAATTATAGATTTCTGGGAATCTCAAATCATTTTGGAACACAGTGCATGTATAAATATACACATAACAGACATATACACATAATTTATTCATACATGTAAATCAAATATAATATAAAGAAAATAAAATAACTCAATTTAACATTTCTCATATTATTTAACATATTAAAGTAAGTCAGATTGGTTCTAACATCTCTTTTTTAGATATTTTGGGGGCCTTCTGAAAATATCCAAAATTTATTTTGAGGTAAAATAACTTAATTTATAATTTGATTTTTTTTTTTTTTTGGAGAGGTTTTCGCTATAGGGCACATGTGCTCGCTAGACAGACAGAGTGAGACATAGAGACAGAAAGCGAGAAATCACCCCCCAGGGGGGATGGCCATGCCGCAATCCCTTCTCCTCCATTCTCCTCTCGGGATCTTGGGCACGCACGCACACGCGCCTGGCATGAGTTTAAGCCACCGGGTCCGTGACGCAAACTGTGGTCGACTACGTGGAAGTCCAGCGACATAGCCATTACGCTAACGCTGGTTCCCTAGAATTTGATTTTTTGGGAAACCTTGTTGTAATTAGCAGAAAGCTTAAATTCTTAACTGTCAGTAGAAAAGTAAAAGTTTAATATTCCCCAAGTGCCTTAGCTATGAAAAAGGGTTAACTCAGTGTCTGTTGGCACCAAAACTAAGGCAGGAAAAAGCTAGTCATGAATCCATTTCCCTGTTAGATATCCACCACGTAAAATATAACACGTAACTAGTAAATACCAGCTGTTTCATCAAACCAACCATATTAAGATAAATATGATGTTGCTTGATTAATAAAGCCCTGGACAAACTATATGTTGGAAACCATGAAGATCTTCACTTATTAAACTCTGTCTCTTTTATCAGCTTTATTGAAGCCAGCTTATTTACTTAAATCACATGGACTTAAAAAGCATTTAAATTAGCTTTAAATGCTTTTGTATGAGTGCTCTTTTTTATAAACCAAATTGAATGGAATTCCTTAAGGCCTTAGACATATAACATAGTACATAGTACAACATGTATGTGTGCACATTCACATGCGAACAAACATCTCACAGTCTTCTGAAAAGTTCTTTAGGCTTTTTTTCTTTTGCCTCTTTCCAAGAAGCTGCAGAAGTTAGCCCTTAGATACTAAATATATGTTGGAAACCATGAAGATCTTCACTTATTAAACTCTCTCTTTTACAATATTTGAAACCAGTTTCTTTACTTAAATTACATGAACATGAAAAACATTTAAATTAATTTTAAATGCTTTTGTATGAGTGTACTTTTCTTTTTGTAAGAGGTTGTTGCCATAGGGCACAAGTGTTCACTAGAGAGAGAGAGAAACAGAGAAGTGAGAGCCAAAGTGAGAATCACCCCCCCCACACACACACACACAAGGGATGGCCATGTTGCAATCTCTTCTCCATTCTCCATCTGAGATCATGGGCAAGCACACACACACACACGTTCAGTGTAATTTTCAAGCTACTGGGTCCAGGACTTGAACTGTGGTCGGCCATGTGGGAGTCCAGCAACATAAGCACTATGCCATCTGTTGGCCCCAAGTGCTCTTTGTTATAAACCAACTTGAATGGAATTCTTTCAGGTCTTTTATCATATAGACATCACAGACATATAACATACTACATAACATGTATGCATGTACACACATACAAACCCCAGGATCTCATAGACTTCTGAAAAGTTCTTTAAGCCTTTTTTTTTTTTTTTTCCTATCTTTCCAAGAAGCTGCAGAGACTAGCCCTTAGATGCTTATCTCTTATGTAGGGCCCTGCTAGAAAGCAAATAGTTTTTGTAAACTAACTTGAATACCTTTAGCAAGCAGAAGGGATCCTGCAGAGCTAACAAAGCTTCACATTTTAGAGTCTTTACAGATATCTGGTGTTGGAAACAAGGAAGGTAAAGACTCCATTAGCTCTCTCTCATGTAAGGGGTTAGGCCCCATTAACTCAGAAACTTGCAAAGCTACCCGTATCAAACCGAGGATCTAAGAGTTGTCTTGATCAGCTCTACCCTGGCTTCTGCAGCCTTGCCAACCTTTGCTCATCTCTAAGACCCTTGCAAAGAACTGAAACTGTTTATTCTTCCGTGCTTGCCTACAAGAGAAACCCCTTAATGCTATGACTGATTCCCTGATGTAATCAGAACTCTTCTGAGTCCGTCAAAACAATGAGTAACTTGCTCTTACTTGTATACTTTCATAGGTTCCCTTTATAAGCTTGGAACTTGTACAGAAAGGCACAAATAATTACACATTCAGGTTGCTTTTTCCTCTCTAGTGCTGGCCACACTGAAAGAAACTCCTTTTCCCATTTACCGAATCTAGCTTTTATTGAGTGACAGGTGACATGGAGCTGGCTCCCGTTACTCTAGTCTATAGGCACTTATCCCTGCCTGTCCCTATAGAA